TGTAATACTCCTGCATAAGGAACTGACAATGTCTGTCTCAGACATGCAAGGGGCTGGAAAAGTTGTAGACACAATTGTGAAGAATGCCCGTCTGTCCCTGTGCAACCAAGCACCACCAGATAGGTAATCTCAATGCCCATCTAAGTAAAACTCTTTATCTTTTAGTTTTGTGCGGTAACTTGCACGGCACAACTTTCTGCACCCATTACCCGTGGAGTAAGAGGGAATATTGTGTTCGAGCAGATACGAGTACGCACGGATATAAATAACAGGAAAAAGGAAGTAAAGTGTGCATTCACATGTGTACATATGTACATATGTACATATGTATGTACAAATGTGCATACAAACATATATTCTTGATCAACAGCAGTCGAACATAAGTGCAGTCGAACGCGTCTTTATGAACTGAAGACAATTACAGAAATCGTTATTCCCCATCTTTTTCCACCCTTCTACTTATACTTATGTATATATTGCAAGTTACGGACACCCTTGAGTTATATTATATTATAAAGGGGGCAATGAAAGTAACTTCTTCCTCGAACTTTCCAATCACGTCCTGTAAATGTCCTCATCCTAGGGTGATATCTGTCAAAATTTCGCTTCTTTTTCTCGTAAATATATACATTTAAGGGTTTTCGAAATGGTTAACGTATAAATATCATGTTGTCTAAACATTGTTTCTGGTTGGCTGCAGTTTTCTACGATTTTACAAGATTCTGTTACAATAAGTTACAATAGTTTTCGAAAAGCCTGAAAATGTACTATATACGAAAAGTGCCGTTATCCTTTTTTCTATGCTCTAATGATATGTTTTCATCTTAAAATCTCCTCGGCTATTAAAATTGAGTCCAAAATACTAGTCTGCCAATTCTAAGCAAGTGACTGTACTATTTGTGGAGACTGGTATGTCCATGGAGTCTATGCCTAGACCCTTCCATTTGCTGGCGTAGTATATAAGCTTAGACTTTATAGCATATCTATTAAAGACTTATTAAGAAAAAACATTTGTTTTTTCTACATACATATTAATTAAACAAAACGAATTAACGAATTAAACAAACCTCTAGCAAGGTTTGCTAATGATACTCGTATATGTTGTACTTATGCATACTCGTAGGCGCTGTTCTTGATCAGTCGAATTCAGATGGACTGTTTCGTACAGCTCGTCACATAGCTGACAGATCGATCTGAGCGATCGATCTGTTAGGGTATCAATAGCTTCGGCTTCGCAAGCCGCAAGCCGAGACTAGTCCCGCTTTCTTTTGAACTTGGCTGCAGCATAAAAAAAGCCTTGTCGAAAGCAATTTCGATTCAATGCAAATTTGCGGAATGCTGACTTTCCCACAGACCCGCTATCTAACAGTATGGAATGCTTGAAAGTGTTTTTTGGTGTAACTAGTGATGCGTCGACAAGCTGGGTAACATGGAAAGTTTTTGCTCAGCAGGCCAAACTTTTATTTTATTTTCTATAAATCTCATTAGTACATCAGGCAATACTAGAAAGGTGACGAGGTTGCAGGTTGTACATACATAGGTAGATACATACATTGATTGGCAGAAGACTTAATTTTCCACTGAAATAAGATTCAAACTGCGTATTAACGATTGTACTATCTGCATATATTTCTAAAATCTTATACGGACAACGCCAACTATCCACTAAGTTTTCAGATAACATTTATACTTAGATATATGTACCTATGTATGTGCATATATTGTACGCTGAAGTACATACACATGCACATGTACATACATACATATGTATGTAGTACGAGCAATAATGGTGCCTGCTTGGTTCCAAATGATACATTTTGTGCGCTGGTGCGTTATGTGTTTCATTCTTCCATCAGAATTAATTCGCCAATACAAAGAGATATAGTGTGGCGTCTGCATTTTACTGCCACACAACTGCAATCAAAGAATTTGACTACTGTTCAACTCAACTGGGTGCAGACTGCAGACTGCTGACTGCAACGGATGTGATTGTTTAAAATGTTCAAATATCGTTAAATTTCCCAGAAATAAAGCCCATACATTTGTACATAAGTACGATAAGTATATATATATAACATATACATATATAGTATGTGAATATGTACTCGCAGTTGCTTAAAGGATTTACTCCATACTTGTAACGTACATAGTATATATGGGCATATGTGCATGTATGTATGTAAATTCTACGATATTTAGACATTATGCAAGTGAATCAACAGAACAGAATGGTTGGTAAGCCCACAAGGACATACAGCTAACCGCTGGTTGATACGCATGTGGAATTTCGAAATCGCTCGCCGTCGAAATTCGTTCACCACAATTTTTAATCAGAAGTAACTGGTGTAGTACAGCATATCCGACAACCTAAAATAAAATTCAAATAAAAAGATTTCAGTCCGAAATCTCATTAAAAACAATTTCGTTTGTAAAAACAAACAAACAAACGAGCGACCAAGTAAAGGCACTGGAACATGAACATACACACGCATGGGCCGTGAGCACAATTGTTTGCTTCTGCTTGTGTTGAAGCGTAATCCCTATAGTAGCTGCGCCGACACCAGGGCCAGTTCTGCCAGTTCTGCCACATCGAACGCCCCGACCAGCACCAGCACCAGCACCAGCACCATCTATCCCATCCACCCAGCCCCGCATGCACCACTGCCTTGAACTTGTCAGTTCGTTCGTCCGACTGAAGCCCTGGCGGCAGCCAGCCGGCCTGTTTGTCCTCCTCCTCCTGCTCCTCCCCCCCTCCTCATGTGCGCCTGCTTGTCCATTTGATGGCGAAGAGCTACCATCAATTTGCAACACTGCCTCCACTACCGACTCTCACACCAGTCGTGGGGTTCTTTATCCAGGCCTTTTGGCCCCACCCATTTTGAGTGTAAACACATAATCCATTTAAATTGTTTGTGGTTTTTCTTATTGTTTGTTTCTCGTCTTATTTTCATTGTTCTTGGTATTTTTGCTTTTTCCGCTGTCATTTCTGTAGAATCGATGTAAAAAGCTAAAGGCAATTGGGTTCATTTCGGAAAGCTCGAATACTCGACTGCTCGACTGCTCGACGTGCAATATACATATCTTCAAAAGATATTTCTTTGGAAAATGGCATGTATTCTTAGAATTGGTAATGTTCACTAATCTGGCTATCTTCACCCAGATGAATATTAATGAGTGAATATTAATTACTCTACTCAATAGTTAAGTAATTTTTGAAAGAAAGTAGCTACCAATAAAATGAGTTCATTCGATAGTTCAGTTCAATTGCAATAATATACATATCAACGTGTGTACATACATATGTACATATGTATGTACATACATATATACCAAGAATTATTAAACCTGAACGACAACAATTAGTTCAAAGCACTCGATGAAATGGGAGACCATTTGCTGCATGCCTATATACATACATACGATAAATGTTATGTTAATGTGTTAATAGTATGGGTCCCGAAACAATGTTTTTTCGAAAATATTTCATGAATTTCTGAATTTTATTTTCACTGTTTTATTTTGTCCAGCTACTAACCTTTTGATATACGAGCATGTACACATTGAAATGTAAAGAACATTTTAACAGAAAGAACATTCCGCGAAGCATACCACAGAAGGTATTTTGGGCTTTTGTATGCTTGCTTTTGCTTTAAATTTGTAAAAATATTCCGTTTTTGTTGCTCTGACTTCTTCAGCGTGAACGTTGACCCTTCTAAAAGAATCTTATCGCAGTGCATCGGAGAAGGTCAGGTCCAATTGAATTTCACGAAAATTCGACTTTTTCATAAAAAAATAGCAATGTTATATATAAATAGTTGTAAAATATGTATGTAAGGTTTTACCTATTTGAATGTTGAAAATTAATATGAAATTTCCCAAGCTTCCCAGATGTCAAGTTTATGTTAATGCATCAATAAGTCATCTATATTTTTCCTTTTGCAATTAAGGCTTGTTTTGTTGTATAAAAAGCCGTTTACTTTTCATTTCCCCAATGAAAATGTTTTCGTTTTGAAAACGAAGAAATCTTGCGGAATGTGAAAACGTGAGCCCCAATTTATGTGATTTCAAAAGTAAATCAGAAAACTTTTGTGATAGTGAAAAACGGAGACTAGCCGAATGTTGGTTATTTTCGATGATTTTTTTATTTATAAATAATTGTCGTTTGTTTCTTAATTGGTACCCTTAACGGACTCCAACGAATTCTTGGTATTTGACTTCATTATGTTATAAATGATGGTAGACATTTTCATATATATAATTATTTAATGATATTATTATATAAATTTGCATACATAACAAAAATGGCAAAGTTTAAGAAGCATTAAAAATATCTTCAGGTGTAGGCATTGTATCGACACGAATAAGTAAATACCATGATTAAATGTTTTGGATATCGGCGACTCCATAAAGCATATATTCTTGATCATCATCAATAGCTGAGCCATATCTAAATTTTGTATCCAGACCCCTGTGATAGCCCCGTCCCCAAAAACGACGAAAATCTGTGGCATCCACAAATTTGAAGAAAAACTAAAAACGCAGAATCCGTCGGTACCCAGTTGCGTATGCGTAATCTTAAAATTTTTGTAGCCTATAAAACTTTATTCGTAAATCTTTTGCTCACCTGCTTCAGAGGGCGCACACTGAATATACATATATCTAGATACATATGCATATATTTGTATACATATACCAGAAGGCAAGCCCCCCCGCACACCTGCTTCGCTCGTGCAACGAAAAAATACACTCGTGGGACCGCAATCTATCGAGAATTTGCGTTCAGAAAGTATTTGGCGGCCGGACTGATCAGACATTTCATCTTTGCCCACATTTGTTTGAATAAATGAAATGCTTTGTTTTATTCCTCATTTCTCATCCATTCCATCACAATGAATGCTGAACGTGGCAGGGTTCAGCCATGTTTATTTTTATGTATTATACCATTTATCATTACAGAAAATATTTTTAGATCAATATTATCGAAAAATTATACAAGGAATGCAAGCGCACGACAATAAACGTGGATGGCGATGCCGTATGAAGATATAGAGAGCAAGGGATCAACTCGAGTAGCGAGTATTTTATACATACTGCATTGAAAAGTATATACTGTACCTGAAGATCCATCGAACATCAAACGTTCAAATATTAAGACTGTTGCAATGATTCAATTAAAGTTGAGCACAAAAGCCATAGCTTTTGGCATAGTTTTGTTACTTATCAAAGGGCAAGGCGAAATCGGAGGTCATTCGTTGCCACACACACAAGGTAAATATGCATATACATACATACATACATATATTCGTATTAAATATTCATTTAAGCCGTACAATATTTGCATAACATAGTATTATTCTAGTATTATTACCAGCGACCCTAAATATTGATTATTAATTTTTCTTAATAATAAAATCACCGACTTATAATGGACCTAGTAATATGGTTTTCAGTAAAATATTCTGTAACCCACTGAAAGATGCATATGCGAGCCAATAAATTATACACTGCATCCGGATTTGTATGCATTTCACGTCACTCGAATCAGTCGAAGAGTTTAGGGATATATGTCTTCGTTTTTTGTATACCCGATACTCAAAGAGGATAGGGGTATATAATATTTGTGGTGAAAATGGATGTGTGTAAGCGTTTCTCATAATATAATATATATTCTTGATTTGCATCAATGGACGAGTCGATATAGCAATAGCCATAGTGTGTCTGTCCGGCTGTTCGTCCGTCCTGCTCGAGGCCTAGTTCTCAGAGACTATACAAGCTAGAGCACACAATTTTTGTGTGTGACTCCTGTGATATTACACTGAATCACATTTATTTTATTTTTTATTTAATTAACAATTATCTGCTAATAATGGGCTTAGATACTAAAAGAACTAATGATAAATAAAGAAGAGGACGAAAGAAAAGAATTTACAAGTTTTCTAAGTTCAGATGATTAAAAATATTAAGTCGTAAAATGTAAAGAGGTAGTCCCAGCGATAAAAGGCCTGCGGCCCCGCAAAGTGCGAAAATCCACTATTTCAAGACACTAGAAACCCGAAAACCCAAGTCGTGTAAAATGACCTGGTTGGAAATGGATCATTATCATAGCCAGAAGACGCTAATTAAATTGCTTGGCTACACAACCCATCCACGCGCTTACTCATTCCGTCTCTCCCGGCTCTTCCTCGAGCAGTGTGTGCCCTCTGGCGAAGGCGAGCGTTCCCGCTCTTTTTGCCTTCAATCCGCTGTGGTATATAACGTACATTACTGATTTTACGATACCAAATTGCAGGATAATATAGGTTGAAAAATATACCCCTTTCCTTAAAGTTAGAATATATATGATATTCGGACAAATGTACAAACATACATAATCTGTTATTATCGACATATAAATCTTTGGCATGGTGGATATTCTATCCGATATGCCCATATTTAGATAGATGTATTTAATATGCATATACATACATATGTGTGCATATGTGCTTATACCTTAAAGTTACCGTGAATAAATCGACTCGCCTATTGCCGCTGATCAAGATAGAAATAATTTGAGAGGTCGAAGACGGCTCCTGTGGATTCAACTTCTACTTACCCACTTAAGCCCTTTTAAAGTATAATTGATATGGAAGGGTAAAAATTATATTTAAAAAACTTAACATTTATTTCCGCACAATTTCCCAGAGTAGAGAAATTAATATCTAAAAAAACCTGCCCTTAACATTTATTTCTGTTCTAAAATTAAAGGACATAGCGAACCAGATGAAATCGTCCCTGAGTTTTTGGCGCAATTGACAAATATTACGGTACCCCAAGGACGAGACATTTCCTTCACATGTGTTGTTGACAATTTGGGCCAATATCGGGTATGTATAATGTTTTTCATTAAGTCGATAAGTATATGTATGTATACATACATATATCCATTAATAAATAGCTGAAAGATTCGTCAATTCAAATAAATATATCAATTATTGTAAAATAATATTAAGAGGAGCATTAAAGATATCATATTTTATGGCGTCAGATGGCGTGAAGACTAGAAAAGAAGTGGTAGTACTAATAGTGAATTAAGCTGAGGGGGCGGTGATCGAGAGGCATGTCAAAGGATTCTTCATACAGAAACAAGGGGCTTTAGCATTTTTCTGTTCAATGCTACATGAGCATGGGTCATAGTAGAAGTGTTACCCTAAAGCGAATTATGATCATTTTTATGTTTGGATCGAAATTCGAATAGAACTGCTAATGGACGCAGAAAATGCAAAACCTGTTTTTTAATTGAGGTTTAAATATTTGAATACATGTTTTTGCTTTGTTTTTGCAACAATCTAAACTAAATTTGAGAGCTTACAAAGAAGTTCGTATTGACGAAAAAAACCTTATGCATTCCCGTACGTACAATAAAGTACAATGTACAGACTCATCGATTGCTTAGAGTTGTGAGCTAGTAAATACCTGTTGTATGTTTGCCTGCTTATTTGGTGTGTGACCTTTGCTAATGCAATAATAACACGAAAATCGCCTCGCCATACACATGCATTTAAGCCTTATGTACTCTGGTTATATTATATTCAGATCCACAGGCTCTGCGCTCAGCTTAAGACTGTTTGAGCAAGGGGGTGCTGTGCTGGAAATATGCTGCCCCATATCGAAAACGACGTCGTGGCAGTGGCCGTGTGTGTATCTGTCTATGTTCTTACAATTTCAGGTGGCATGGATTAAATCTGATTCAAAAGCAATACTTGGTATACACACACACATGGTCTCACTAAATCCCAGATTATCTGTGACACACAACGGCCACAACACCTGGAAACTTCACATATCTCGCGTACAGATAAATGACTCCGGCAGCTACATGTGCCAAGTGAATACGGATCCCATGAAGAGCCTTGTAAGTGCATGTCTGTCCCACTATGTTCCCATAGGGCTTATCCTTAGTCCTTAGTCCAAAGGTGTCCTTACCCTCAGTGCCTGTGTGCTATGTGCCAGGGAGAGAGTCCACCTGGGCAGTCATACTCTGCAGCATTAAACAGCTCAGACGGTGTACAGCTTTTCCATTCGCTTATTACGAATCATACTTTGTTTTTTCGCAGTCAGGCTATTTAGATGTTGTTGTGCCACCGGATATTCTAAATCACCCAGACCATAATCTCGAGGAAGGCGTCAGCACTGAGGGTGGCAGTATTGTACTCGTGTGTAGTGCGACTGGCGTACCCGAGCCGAAGGTGCAGTGGCGGCGTGAAACAGGAAAGGATATTATACTTCGAGCGGAGAGCAGAGATAAACAAGGTGTGTACACATGCATACGTATCTCAGGGATATTTAGCTTCTTGGCTTCACTATTTCTTAACTTCACAGAGCAGTAGTATAGAAAACTATTTGAATACCCGTTAGTTCGATTAGACAATTACTTGTGACTAAGTAAGTATGACTCATATAATTTGGTTGAGGTCACCCTTTTGAGTTTGGGAGTGGTCCAACAATAACAAAATCAGCGCGTCGAGTGGTCTAGTCGAGCAGTGATCATACATGAATGTGATCAGTGAACATGAATGAAACTTCGTAAAGAGAAATTAAAGTGGGCGGGACGGTAAAATGGACGTAATAAGCGGGAAATCTTAAATGTTCGAAAATTTCACCCCGTTGTAAGCTGCGGCAAAAGCCGCGACTCTACTTGTATGCCCGCTACTCAGCCAGTATATATTTGAGCTTATGATTTGTGTAATTTATACAATATATTTTATGTATCGTTTGGTATCGCTGTACGCAAACACACAAATTCATTTTTTGCAAAAATGTAATTTTTTAGAAATAGCTCTATTTTGTTTGTTTTTATTTTTTTTTTTTTTTTGCATTTTGCATTTTGCCTTTGTTGGTGCCTTAGAAAATAAAACATAATTCATTAAAAAATGGTCAAGCCGCAAATCTATCAGAAAACATCGGTCCGGTTCGAGGCGTAAAAATTGGTTGTCATAAAGTTTGGAGGTTTTACAACAATCAATTGTATCGAACCATGTAAAAGAGCCAAGCGGTGCTAGTCTCGTAAAGCAGGATACTGTAGCGGAATATACATCCATATGTAGAAGAAAACTCCACACAAATAAGAGCATATTTCAAATGTATCACGCATGCGGGTTTCACTGGCACAAAAATTGTTGCTCCCGTTTTCAAATAACGCCGCTATATCGCCAGAAAGGGGAATCGAAAAGAAAGGGGAAAAAAATAGATGACTAATTTATGCTTTAACAAAGATTTGACACCTTCACAAGGCAATTCAGCTTATTCAACCTGAAATTTGCGTTTGAATAATTGGTCAGGGAAACGAGACTTTCCGTTTCCGTTCTTTCCATTGTATACAGCAACCCATTAGATCGAGTCCCTCTGCCGATCGCATAAACTTCTCAATCTAATCACCCATGTCTTAGCCTAAGCGACAATTACAATTCTGATAAAATTCGGGTCTAAGAAAGCAACGAAACTTCGCGGTCTTTCTTATTGTGATCCGTTATATATATATGAAACAAGTTATTTTCGTTGGCTAAAATCGCAGCAAGGTATTTTTGAAGAAGTAGATTTGTGCAAGCCCAGAAATGCCATACTGAGAGGCAGAGACAGGCCTGAAGTGCCAATTTATAAGTCCTCGCAATATTCATAATAGAGAATGCTTTCAGAGCGGAAGGACAAAAAGTGCTATTGTATTGACGCCGATCAGTGTTAAATTTAAGGACTCACAATGTATGCAGTTTTAAAGAGGATCTGGAACTTTTGTAGACTTTTGGTTAAAGGGAAGAGTATTCAAGCAACGGTACAGCAATTCGTTGATCAGAAGAGGCGCAAGAGTAGCAAAATTAAAAATATACAAATTATAGATATACCTGTAAATACCGAAAATTACTGAGCAATATTACTTAAAAATTGTTTTCGGGGAAAATAATTACTTTTTTTGAGCAACTCGAATTTTAAATTTGTCCATTAAACCAAGGAAAACATGAAGACCTAACTTATTCATACTCTCACGACGACCCAAAACTATTTTATATCACAGAGAGATATTTGTATCAAACTGTCTCAGACAGATGCCCACCCTAGTTATAAGTTATGATTTTGCAACGTGGATTGAGAAAACGCGCCACTGTGTCAAATGGCACACATCCATGACATCCAACATTTTCGAAGATACGAAGATACAAGATTGGAGAATTTGAATCAGATCGAATCAGTTTTATAGCAAGAATAAAACGACGCATACATACACTCTTTGAAGTTTTCTGATTACTAAAGCCTATTCTATACTACTATACTAAAGATATTTGTATCAAACTGTCTTAGACAGATGCTCACCCTAGTTAGAAGTTATGATTTTGCAACGTGGATTGGGAAAACGCGCCACTGTGTCAAATGGCACACATCCATGACATCCAACATTTTCGAAGATACGAAGAGACAAGATTGGAGAATTTGAATCAGATCGAATCAGTTTTATAGCAAGAATAAAACGACGCATACATACACTCTTTGAAGTTGTTGGATTACTAAAGCCTATTCGAATACATTTTTATCTTTTATTGTAACAGCACTGAAATCCGTGGACGGAGAAAGACTCACTTTGACAAATGTCCAACGTACAGATATGGGTGGCTACAATTGCATTGCTTCCAACGGTGTGCCGCCTTCAGTGAGCAAGAGATTTGACGTACACGTAAACTGTAAGTTGATATTAAAAATAATTATAGGTAATCTAATATAAAAAGATCTCATGTCCCTGTGTGTCGTTATACACGGATTTTGAAACAGACCTACGAAAAATACTATGTTACAGACCTATTGTTGACCTAGTGTTGTCTAGGACATGGGCATTTCCATCGGAGGGTCCACCGGAACAAGAACATTAAAAGTCAATAAAACCCGATTAAAATATCATTTCATTGACTCTCATGTGAAAAGAAAATACAATCCGAGCATTCATTTTGAGGTGTTTGTTAGTCACGTTTTTGTGCAATGTTATCTCATCGTTTTTGGAAATAATCAAAAGCATTTTAAAGAGACTTTGATGCACAATATTCCAAAAAAGAACCGCGCCACGAATTATAGGGACGGCAAGAGGTGGAATAGTCCAATGAGAGATCCATTTTATTTTGATTTTTTGTACTTTAAAGCCCCAGTGTAAGAGCGTACATATTTATGCATGTGTGTATGGTTTTTGCATTAAAACATTTGCATAAATTATTACAGACTCTAACTATAGAATATGATACAAATTAAGTACTTTACATTATCATAGATTATTAAATATTTTTTAATTGTTGCACTACGTGTTTTAAAGTCTGCTCCATAAACTCTAATATTCGTGCAAGTGTAAAAGACATGCGTTTGTGTTGCACCCACTTGATTCTGCTCCACAAAAATAGATATAGAGGGCCAACTTCAAATGAAACTGCTGCAATAGCATCCCTGGGGGTGATGACTGAACATGGCGATGGTGTGCCACAAGAACACAAATCAACACAATGACATCGTAAAGTCAAATTCAGAATTCCAATGGTGAAAACTTTTGATAGTTGGATTTCAGCCGAGAGCTGGGTCCAATTCCATCGAAACGAATGATTCAATCATACGATTTATGTACTTACCGCAATATATGTACATACCATACCCCTCATAGTACATAATCGTATCCAACTAAAACGCAAAGATAGTTTTAAAAAAACGTAACTTTATATTTCCAAGAGCTGTTGATTCCGCATGATATTTGGAATAGTTGGTACATAGTAATCGTACATGCATACAGTCGTGCATTTAATGCGTGCCTATATACTCGTATTAACACTAGTGCAACTGTTGGTGTACTATGACTGGCGTGCATACATACTTACATACACACACACACACACACACACAAATGCATGCTTACTAAACTTTGCCTATGTGTGGGTGTGTCAGTGCCTAGTGGCATATGCAATCTGAAGGACCGTGATTGTGCGAAACTAAGCCGAACAGAACAGGCAGAGAGGGTTTGAATAGTTTGTGTGCTGTAAGGCATACAAGGCAAACATAACAACTACGACTACAGATACAACTACAGCTACAACTACAAATACAACTACAACTACAACTACAACAGCACAATTTTTTGGCCATGTGTCTACGTCAAAATCAGTAAAATGCAAATTCAATGTTAACAATTGTAGAAATGTCCAAGCCATCCGCCGTCCGAAATAACCAATCTGCTGTCTCCGAACTGTCGTGTCATTTCTAGATCTTAAAAGCTGGCATTCACCACTGCAATTTGCAAACAATGCAGGCAACGCCGGTTTGTGTGTTGGTGGCGAAATTTTCTGGGAACTGTGTACTCGGTGTACTCCGTGTACCCGGTATACCCGGTATACCCGGTACCAGCAGAATAGAGTACAGTACAAAAAATTGAAAAATCTCCAGCTAATATTTATTAACTAATAGCGGAGAAGCGGCTGGATATTCATTTATATTATTACGTTTTATTGTTGATACAAGAAGACAGTATAAATTCTTAATGTTGATAACTTGGAAAATTGTCACTCGATATTCAAGTTGACGTAATGACAGAATATAAGATGGTAAGAAACCCCGCTGCGTTCAATATTACAGGCGTATTTCCTTACGAGCAAACATAAGCCATTGCTTCAATAGAGAGGCTTTAAAAATCGTTCATTGCCAAGTTCCAAGAGGACCACATTTATTTTGATGTACGGATCATTGAGCTTTAATCCATTTTATTTATGACTTTAAATTATTCTTTGGTAAGGCACACACCACTGTAGCGCAACGGCGACCAACAGCAGAAAAAAGCACACTCGTAATCCTTTGTCCGCATCGGAGCAGATTTAACAATCGTCACAGTCATACACGATACACACAGACACTAGCGCAGTACGAAGTTGCGAAAACAGCAGCCCGCCCCAGCAAGCTTTGACTGCGACCACGCCGCCGATGCTCTCGGTCCCGCGCGTCCTTAGCCTGTCGGTGTAATCTGCCGGGAAAATTACATAAAACTCATCAAACGCCTTACCAAACCCACTGATTACCGCCAAGCGGAGCACCACCGCACTACCAATAATATTTTGGAAGGCAAGCTTATCAGGCGCTGTAAAGCAAGTGCCACCATCGCTGAACGCGACATTGTTACAGATCTGAAGCATCGAAGGGTGGGGTGAAGTACATACATACATACATATGTATACATACATACGTGTGTATGTATTATTAGGGGCATGTCGCATCGTATTCAAATTCATTATTTTTGAAAAGTTTTTTATTGAAATTAATGGAACAGAATAATTTGTTTTCCCGCGTGTTATCAATTTCGTATTATTTTCGGGCTTAATACAAAATTAAGAACAAATTAGAATTATTGAATTGAAATCTGAATGCATTGGAAAATCACGCTGCCATAATTATTGAGTTTTCCACGATTATAATATAAATTTGATATACATGATACACATTTATAAATGTAATAAATAATCAGTCAAGACTAGGATAATTCTGCATGATTCTGCATTTGCGGTTTTCACGTGTCTTCCTTATTTTGGATATCCGGATCCGGATATCATTCTGCGAGGGGGACAAGTGGGAAGTGGACAATTTTCAGGACACACTTACATACATAAGTACATAAGTACACAGATCCGACCACGGGCGGACGGACAGACATGGCTATCTCGACTCGGCTCCTGATGATGATCAAGATTATATGCATGTACATAGATATGTATTTTTATTGCTTTTCTGCCATAGCCTAGTCGGTCAGTCGCGTCCCCTAATTAAAGGAACTACTTCTCATAGTACACATATACTTATTTCACAAAGAATAATTGATTTTTGGATTAATGATAATGTTATACATAACGTACATGAATAAGAATATACTGGTTATTAACAAAAACAACATACGTTTAGTTCCACCTACAATCAAAGCCGTCAACCAGCTGGTCGGCGCACCTGTCGAAAGGGAGGTAACATTGGAGTGCATTGTAGAAGTATATCCCAAGCCCCTGAATGGATGGTACCGCAATGAAGGTAACTATAGAATTGTCGGGCTCATGTTCTGGTACCCATTAAAATCGAAACACATTTTAGGTAATGTCAAACTGCATAACGGGAACAAGTACAACATATCTGAAGAAATGATTAACCTATACACATGGCATCTTAACCTAACCATCCGGCACCTGACTAAATCCGATTTCGGCGCCTACAGTTGCTCCAGTGTTAATGCCCTTGGAAAGAGTGAAACTCGCATTAGACTGCAAGGTAATAAGGGAAAGACCTTTAACTTTTCAACAGCATCGAATGCTGAAGCATCATATCATAGCACAAAAGCTTGCAGGGGAATGTATTACATGCTTTCTTATATGCTAGTCTGGACGCGGGCAGGGGTAAGCCCAATAGTTCTTAAAATTCGAAGCTATCAATTCATTTGAGAACTAAATAAGTGGGAGAATACATACGTACGTATAGAGAGCAACGCACATATGTGTCTGCGTCGTGTGTATAATTCGTTCGGTTTCCGTGCAATAAATCAACTAGGATTTCCGTCGCTCCATTATTTTTATCGAACTCATTTAAAGACGACTGTAGCCTTTTCTTTATCTTCCATCTACGTAGTTCGTCCTCGTCTTCCATTCCAACGTCAGCCAGCAAGAGATGGAGAAGAGAATATAAGCATGAATTATAGCACAATCAGCGCACCCTATCTCCCTCACACCAGAGCTGCATCAGCATTGCCGGCGCAATTTCAATTTCCAGTTTTAGTTTAAGATAGACGATAGACAGCAGCCAAGGATAAGCTTAAAGGTTTTCAGTTAGATCTTTCTAAGAATATTTCACTTTTGCAGCGGAAACGCAGACACTCAATGATAGCCACCCCCCAGAATTCTTATTCGCCTCACTAAATCACTCATGAATTTAAAACAAGGATAATTGTCATTGACAGTAACCAAGCATCCAATCTTGTTCATTACCATTCACGTTTGAACTGACTAGAACAAAAAAGCTTCATATAGTAAGTAGACTTTTTAGATAACATCAAATTGTTATGGTACCTAAATTATGGATATTAGCCTGATCTGGCACATTTCGGTGAATGATCTGGCCCATTTGATGAATTATTATTATGCTATGTGCAAAATGTCGCCCTAAAATGGGTAGGATGGCTTGTTCTTCTAGTAAATGAAACTTTCGCAAAGATTCAACGCATACATTTGTAAGAAGCAGTTCTTAGCCTCCAGCGAAATTTAAATTTCTGGTCTGCTTTAAACAATGATATAGAAAACTACCAACCCCGTGCGCCTTGGCATGGCCCTCTGATACTCCGCGGGCTTATTTTTCCCTTTAGTTCCATGAAGAAGAAGAAGCAGTCGGTATTTCATAATTGGTGCAATTTCTTCCAGAATTACGATTACCGCCCAAGTCGACAACGACGCCAACACCTCACGTGCACACAACGGCTAAACCGCGTCGGAAGCAGCAACCCGGCCACAACAAGGGACTGAACGAAGTGGTGCGTGCCAAGGAAACCCATTTCTCAAATCAAATGCAGCAGGAGAACGACGTATTCGGCGGTGGGATTGGTGTGCCCCAGAGCGCCAACAGTGGTAATGCTGGTAGCGTAGTTGAGAGTGGAAACGTCAACGGCATGATAAACGGAGCGGAAGGTAAGTTACGATTTAGAAAATTCCACAAGTACATACTGCAGCAGCAGGACCAGAAGCAGTCGAGAATGTAGTCAGGCATAATCGGCAGTTACAAACACACACATTCAATCCCCCCCACCGGACCAGCCGACAGAAGTCTTCATACATGCATACATACATATATACATACATACATACATCGTACTTACGTACATACTTACATATACTCGTACTATCCCAGCAGCGCCCACATGTCTTTGCTCAGCTGTGGGACTATGACTTGGGGCAAATATACGAGTAATGTGGCTACGCTCCTGTTACCGATTTCTTCGTAAGGAGCTCTTGGTGGTTTTCACTAACTTTTCGATCTTCTCTTGCGTCAGGAGCAAGTGCAACGAACAGGAAACCACAACATGCCCAATCTTATAAGAAACTGAGTATGGGAAGTGAACGAAAGGGGCTTTCTAAATCTCTTTCTATGTAGTAGCTCCCTTTCAATACTACGAATACTACTCGGGGTTTCATACATTTGTACAGAATACCTTAAGATCAACTGTTAAAGTTTCAGTTTCAGAGCAATAACCATTAAAACTAGACCACTTAATGCTTCTGTGTTACTTGATTAAATACAACACTTTCAGAGCTGCACTATTAGTCAACTCGCTCATTTAAAATTTAGTCGTCTGAGTGTGTTTTATATATTCATTTTCAGTACACACACAACTACCTGCACGTAACGGATATGAAAAGACGCATAAGTCGCCTGGCGTTGTACCATCACCCCGTTCACCCTGGAACTTTGCGAGTGCGGGGTCGCAGCTGCTTGCCAGCACTACGATAGCGACAAACTCTCTGGTGTTTTTTCTTCCCTGCGTGTTGTCTGTGTGTACGAGTATGTACTATATAGTAATTTAAAAGCACGCTACCCAAGAAATCTCCGATACGATGCTACAAATGGAAGGGGACAGGACAGCTCTGCAGCTCTGCAGCTATGCAGCTGCTCAAAAACCGCCGATGCAACTTCTGCTTTTAAGTTACGAATAGTTCTGGGTCTGTCGTTGTTGGTCAGTGTAGATCCGGTGGTTGTGCAGTACGTAGTTATCAATTGACTCGTCTGCCACAAACTTAGTTTGTCTTATTAGCTAGACAAAGAAAATCGAATATACATACCTACATACATACAATATATTGTACGTAATGTAAGTTGGAAGCATTGCTACAGGTTTTCTAACATTAACGTAGTACACGCACACTAAGAGAATCTACTAAAGAATCCACATACTACATACATATTTACATTTTATTTCGTGTTTACCAAACTTATAGTAATGTGTACTGAGGTACTTCCACGCAGCAATTCCAACTTTTCCATTTCAAAATAGTACAACAAATTTGAAAAATTTTAAGAATTGGGTGAGCTTTGTTTGAGTTTTCTTATCAAGTACAAGAAAATTTCCAAATAGATGCAAACATATTTCTGGTAAGCCAGTATCCATTTTACTGCATTTCCGTTTGGCTTAAATGTAATAAATACGGGTCTAAAGACCACAAAGCGTGGAAAAATCCTTTAATGGACCGCGGTTTATCAAGAATTTATGTGCAGAAATTATTTGTCGGTCAGACCTTTTTCGACTTACCCACTGGAATGTTATTAATAGGCGCGATCACCAGCACAATGTATTATGCATCATGTCTAAGGTGTCATCTATCATGTTTTGGGTGCTGGTGAACGCCTATTATTCATTCCTTACTATCTCGCAGTCGTAAATAAAATCGGATCTGAACCTATCGACATTAGCTTCGCGACTCGACCCAAAAAACAATCACGCCAAATTGCAGTCATTTTTCGTAAGTTCTAAGTGTTGACATTGATTCATGATTTTGTATTATTCTGGCGATTATGATTCTTCACGATGTAGTGCGTATTTTATTTGATATGTCAATTCTCGATAAAGACCAACAGCAATGCATCATGCATCAAAATGGAACGTAATCTTTTCAAGCTCCAGTTCTGAAAATCTGGTACATGGTACATGGTTTATGCATAGTAATCGCTAATCATGCGCGTTCAAAACTTCCGAAACTGAATCTTTTACACTAGAGTTAATAGTTTCACCAATTGCCACATATTTTGTCGTTGCCGTGTATTAAATTAACTTGTTTAAATGAAAATTAGCCATTATTTTATATATTACATTTTTTTAACCCTACTCCTTATGGAAATGGTATGTTCAAGATTAGCGGACCCGCTAAAAGATGTACAATGAAACTATCTTCTCTATCGTCTCTATACTTCACTGATATTGCTACTAATAATACTACTACTAAAAGCGATTTGTTTCACCAAATTCGGCACGGTATGAATTCAAAAGCCTTAAGCGAAAATTCCTGAAAAACACAACTTGTTCAATATGTGAGATCCCTAGGCAGGGATGAAAAAGTTACTGTTTTTATACAACTATAAAAACTAATAGGCGTCTGATATTCATTATAGTTATTATTATTACAACAATAGTTCTATTCGTTCTATTTTGTGCATAGTACATAGTACATTACATTATATTATTTTCTGTGACCACAATTTTTTTATGATTAATGTCAACCTATTTAACCAACTGCACAATTAATGTTCTCTTATTGTTATTTGGTGTTATTGTTTTCTATATGTCGGCGAATAGTGAATTCATTAACTTCTTCGGAATACCCAATGTTTATCCTGCGGAAAAATTGACAAGTAATTCAGTTTTCAGCAATTTTTCTCGTTTGACTTGGGATTGTTTGCAAGTGCAGAAAATGGAAAACAATTTTTTTAAATTTCAGTCAATAATAAATATAATAAAATGTTATTGGATAAAACAAGACTTTATAATAGGCTACCTAAGCTAATAACGGAACAATAATAACTTACAAATTTATGTAACAATGGTGAGCTTATTTGCTCACATTAGATAATGTACAGTAATCCAATAATACATACCACACAATGCAATGCAGAAATGTCTTCCGATACAAATGAACAATATGCATATAATAGAACATAAGCCCTATGAATAATACTAGGTACTAAAAAAACAAATATCAAAATTACATGATTAATGTTGGAAAATGTATATTTAAGCAAATCGTTATTTTCCCTTAGTCATTGTAAATATGGTTATAAACAATAAGCATTGCATGTAACATACAAACATATGTGCCGGCTCATTTTCATCTCATTCAAACATATTGAGACAAACTTAGTAAGTACATAAACACGATTATATTAAACCCTGCTTAAGAGCAATGACAACAAAGCGATTCCGGATACGGGTCCGGAAAAACTTGTCGAAGATATTTCAACGGTGCCCGCGCCCATGGGTCGATGGGCTGGTTTTGTACCAGGATCCGCTCGTTACGTGTTGTCGCTCCAGTAAGATCTTCTTAACAGGAGTGTCAGAAAGATTTCAATCATTTTTTTCATGCAAAATTAATTGATTATGTTACAGCAACTGGCCGTTACAAAAAATGACTGCAAATACCTCGATTAAATTTATGGACACTTGTGAACGATCAAACTTCTATTTGAGTATACTTAAACGCTCCATTTAGGCCGTGCAGGACCGTCAAGCTTCACGGTTAGGTTTGGTTTCGAGTACGTACTCGATTCGCAGCTCGGCGTCAATATTTCAGCACAGTACAGTGCCATAGCCATAGCGAGCCTATACACATGAATGTAAATACGAATATGTGTTTATGTGCACATGTGTCTGTACGCTATAAACTGCGGTGGCCATGTTTCTGTGATGAAGTTGGCTTTGAATTTACATAAATGTATGCAATCGAGAACGCCACGCCAAAGTGGCTGCAGGAGCATCGGCATCGGCAGTGCCATTGCCACTGCCACTGCCACTGCCATTGCAAAGCTAGCTGTAGTCGCCAGTGGCCCATGAACACAATGAAACGGTGATGTGATGGTTCGCCTGGACTGGACTGCAGGACAGGGAACTGCCAGTCGTACGATTATTGGGAAGGTGGGGCTCGTGAGTTTGTTGCATATCAGCAGCCATGCCTAATAGGAAAGACTAGAATCGTAGGTGGGTGATACGCATTTGTGCAAATGACGTGGAGTGCAGGATTCTCTCCGTTACTTGCCCGTCTACTGTTATTTACCGAGTCCGTATGGACAATGGGCGATAAGAATTAAACCTTCAAGTATATTTGATACAGGGGTTCTGTGGTGACGCCAAAAACTGGGATGGGAGACAAGGGGAAGCCCTGGAAAGCAATGAGATGTCATGGGATGGAGCCACGGAGGCACATTACCGAATTTTGTGCATGGCCCGATGCTTGGCTACTGTCATTGTCACTAATTTAGCAAGAGGAACAGAAACAGAACGGAGCTTAAGCCAGACAGTTGGTTGCACGGCACTTGCGTCCTCCATTTGCGGTCGACGCTTAGTATTCTGCGTTGGAAACAAAAAATTTGCTGATTCGGCTATTGTCAGATGCCCACGCATCCCACGCTCCCACGCACCCACCCACATATGAGGATACGCTTACTCGTGTCCACCTATTTGGCTGGGAGTGTGCGTCCGTTTGTTTGTCGAATGCGCACTTTGCAAGCGCAAGTGCACTAGCCCTCCAGGACTGGGGCTGATAATGTTTTCGACATTAAATTGCCATTAAATTCTGTTTTATTGCACTTGGGACTGTATGCATAATTTACTCTGTGTCTGCCACCCTACGCTGGATGCAGGAAAGTGCATCTTCTTCCTCTGATTTAGCTAGTAATCTACTACAGCCACCGCAGCATTTTCTCCACTCTTTGTTAAAGAACCTGAATAATCTTGCAGCTATTCGGTCCGCACAGAATTTTACTCTTAAAAGCATCAAGGCCCATATAGTATGTACATATGTATGTACATACCTACATATGTACATATGTATTCATATGCGTATAAATCCGATTTGTGTCAAATTCTTTCTGTGTATACTCGTACACACATGTTAGTGCTACAGTTCAGAAGGTAGATGTTGTCAGAATGTAGATGAACTATCTGTATCTGCAAAATTTCCAATCTCACAGAGATGTAACAGATTGTTTTAAATTTAGTGTTTTTAACAGTTTTAACATCCAAAAAAACGAAATCAAAAATCATATGTATGTTCATACATACGGACATATGTACATACATATGTATGTCTATTGGAAAATACGAGTACACACACACTGACAACTTCTGGCTATCCCAGCCAATACAAACCCACAAAACACGGCACAATTTCAATGCAGTCGTAATAAATTTGGGATCTCATAATATTCTTGACAAAGGGCCTGGCTGAAACAATGTACACGGTACGCATTGTTGCAGCAAGATATACGATAATATACAAATACGGTAACGTGCTGCATACTCATTGATACTCATTGGGACGGATGTTTTTAGCTAGTTGCACTTCTTTATGAATACGTATGTGCAATATGTCTCGTGTGCTCACGCATATTTATTTTGTTGCAGAAACCATCAGGAGTTTACATTGCCAGCCGTTTAGCTTAACTTACGGTAAAAATAAGTACTCTATTGCTTACAATAATATTCGCAGAGTAGATATCAGATAATGGACAATAAAATAATTAAATCTGTATTGACGATTTACAACGGTTTAACTGTTTATATCGATTTTACCAATTACTAACAAGCCAAACCATGAAAAAGTTTAAGTTCCAACAAATAAGCTTCAGTTTCGAAATATATATAAAAAAAAAAATGAAGAATAAATACTCAACCAAGAAACACGTTTAACGAATTTAAAGTATAATCAATATACCATTTTTAATGACTGCATGACCTTATAAACAAACCAAAATTGAACACGGCATAAACATACATATAAATATATATATTTAAATATTTTTCAACTGAAATACATACATACATATGTATGTACATATATGTACGTACATATATGTAACAACACACATTCAAAAATAATGAAACAATAAGCAGATACGATACTCGTATTTATGTTATGATAAATTTTATTAATGTAAATTTTATTTACATAAATAACACATACATTAATATTATTTGCATATGCGCGTAC